AGGGAACCCGATGTGGGACTCAATCCCAGGACCCTGGGATCATGACCTGAGCCGAAGGCAGACGCTTAACGACTGAGCCACCCAGGCGCCCTTTTTTTTTTTTTTTTAAAGAGAGTACAAGCAGGGGGAGAAGTAGGGAGAGGGAGAAGCAGGATCCTGCTGAGCAAGGAGCCCCACACAGAGCTCAATCCCAGGACCCCGGGATCATGACCTGAGCCAAAGGCAGACTCAACCAACTAAGCCAGCCAGGCGCCCTTGCCATATCATATTAAATTAGGATCTACTGATGAAAAGTTGGTATCTTGACTATTTAAGGAATAACATCTTTACATTGTTTTCATAAATAAAATTAGTAAAGTTTTCTTACCTTCTTATTAGTGAATACTACATCCTACATCCTACTAAAAGGAAAAAAAAGTTTTATTTCAAAAATAAATTATGCCCATTCTGGAAAACTTCCAAAATATATTTTTTATTTTTTTTTGTTTTTATTTAAGTAATCTCTGCCACCAATGTCGAGCTTGAACTCACATGTTCTACCAGCTGAGCCAATGAGGTGCCCGTGGAAAGAAGCACTTTTAAAATGTGCTTTTCTATATTAAGATATTTTGAAAATAGGGGTGCCTGGGTGGCTCAGTTGGTTAGATGTCTGCCTTCAGCTCAGATCATGATACCAGGGCACTGGGATCCAGCCCCAGCTCGGGGCTGCCTGCTCAGAGGAGACTCTTATCTCTCAAAAAAATAATAAATAAAATCTTTAGAAAAATTTTAAAAAGATTTGAAAATAAAAATGATGAAAACTGTTTTGTACTGTTTTGTTAATTTTTCCCCATTTAGTTATGTCATGTTGATAAACACTCTCATACCTTTCTAATGAATGTAGTGTTACATTGTATGCAATATCTATTACTTAATCAGTTCATCATTAAAACATAGAGGATAGGGCGCCTGGGTGGCTCAGTTGGTTAAGCAACTGCCTTTGGCTCAGGTCATGATCCTGGAGTCCCTGGATCGAGTCCCACATCGGGCTCCCTGCTCGGCAGGGAGTGTGCTGCTCCCTCTGACCCTCCCTCCTCTCATGTGCTCTCTCTCATTCTCTCTCTCCCAAATAAATAAATAAAACCTTTAAAAAAAATCATTTAAAACATAGAGGATATCTTTTGAACATGTTTATATAAACATTAATATGTGAATTGTGTGTGAACGTGAGGAAACCAAGTAGTCCATTGAAAGTATCCAATGTTTAGAAAAGGCAAAGTTCCTCTTAAAGAGGTGAAAATGGGTACGCAACTATTGAGTGTAAAGACACCTGTAACCCCCATTCATTTCTTCTTCAGAGCTGTCTTCCCTGACATCGCTCCCAGTTCAAAATATTTTAGGCAACTTTACTTCAAACGAGTTGTCCCTTTCTTTTCTTACTTCTTTGCTCTCCTTATTATCTTTTTTAAAAATCAGCTTAATAGTGGTTTCTGGACCAAAAAGATTGCTTTGTGTTAAGCAAATTAGCCTTTTAAGTCCATTTACATCACCTCTCCTTTTATTTGACAGATACAGAAAATAGAAGGATTAATATCATACCGAGACCCTCATTTTTGGCGTCATTCAGCCAGTGTTGTGGCAGGAACAATTCATATACAGGTGACATCTGATGTGCTGGAACAAAGAATAGTACAGCAGGTGATAATCTTTTGTTTTTAAAGTAATTTCATTTGAGTTAATTCATGTATAAACTGGGACATATTATAAATCATATGGTTGAGTAATCATTTATTCAAAAATATCAATCTTTTAGCTGTCCAAGGATAATATAACTTATTTTTTATATCTAGATTTGTTTTCTACCCCAAAATGGTTAAAATAAAATTAAGTTTTAGTATTTAGATGACAAGCTTAAGTGAATGTAATAAAGTTTACTTATGATCCACCTTGGCTCCCAATCGATTATCCAGAAATAAATTATTATAAATACAGATCTAGATTAATAATAATCACAGTCAAGCTGGCAGCGTATAACACTGTGATTGGAGGCAAGGATCAAAGCAGTTCCTATATTCCTATTCTAAACCTACCATATTGGAAACAAAAGCTGTTTCCCTTTTCAACTTTGAATGTCAGGTCAGTAATTTACTGGCCATCTAAAGGATTATAGCTAATATTTGACCAAGTAAATAAATAATAAATATTACTTTGAGGATTATCTTTGACTGTCTGTGGCTATGAAACACCTGATAGGTAATACCAGTTATTTAAGACATACACTAAATGTATTAATCTAAATGCTTTAAAATGTATGGGTTTTGATAACAGGTTACAGGAATACTTAAAGATGCTGGAGTAAACAATTTAACAATTCAAGTGGAAAAAGAGGCATACTTTCAACATATGTCTGGCCTAAGTACTGGATTTCAAGATGTTCTAGCTATCACAAAACAAATGGAGTCCATGAAATACTACAAAGATGGTACTTACATCATGTGAGATAACTCGAGAATTACCTCTGGGGTATGAACAATGAAGACTAAATTACTCGGTATTTATAATACTGCCAGAAGGAAGAAAATTGCACATAATTGTACAGAAGCATTTGCTGTATTTGAAAAAAATTTTGAAGTTCCCTACTATTGGATCAAGGAATCTTTCTTAAAGGATATTTAAATACAGAATGAAGCATTAATTGTACAAGTCAAATAATTACTTGAATTATGTGTATAACAGGAATCTTAAAATTTGAGTGAACATGATGTATCACATCATCTTCAAAAATGAACATATAATGATGGATTCTAGTGAAGACCAAAATTGCTTCTGTGTGTTTACTTTCTGTCAGAAAGCATCTCCATTGTAAATAATGTATTTACATGTTTATTACAAAGACCCAAATGAAAAATTTTTAGTCAATTTTTTGCATAGCCCTAGGATAAAATAGGAATTAAAGTTCTATATTTATGGAGTTTCTGTATATAAAACTGGTTTCTAATTATAACTTAAATCCATTAAGTGAAAGCTGTATTGCCACTTTAAATGTAAACTAAATTATTTGAGAAAAAACAACCACTGAAATGAGATAAGCAGTGAGAATAGGGAAGTTTAACATTATTGATGTATTACAAAAACCAACCACTCTGTAAAATAAATTTTTTTACTTTTGGTAATATTTGCAAATGAATAATTACTTTATTAGGGTAAAGAACTTATACTAAGTTGTGTGCATGTTATTCAATCACTTGTCTTCTTCCTCTGAAGTAGAATATTCCATTTCTTGTTATGAATTTCCCATTCCAAGTTGCTTGTGAGGCTGGTATCCAAACAGTGAGAGGGTTCTCGTCTTTTCATTTAGCTCCATATTTTGTGGAACAACCACTTGAGAGAATCATAAATAATGTCAACTCACATTTGAGTTTTCTGCCTTTAAACATAACTTTTTTTTAAGTTTCTGGAACATGTACATCTATAAGAAGTATCAAAGAATAGGTAGTTAGTTTAGTAAGTAAATCTTGTCCGTAAGTTCTTGGGCACCATGAAATCAAAATATCTACCCTGTAACTACTTTCTATAGCAATATCTA